GGCGCGGGCGGGGAAGAAGTAGCGCGCGCGAAGGAGTAGAGCGTGGCCGGAAGGAGAGGGGCGGGGCTTGAAAAAGAAGAAGGAGAAGAATAAAATTTTAAGAAGAAGAAGAAAAAAGGAGGAAGAAGAAAAAGGAAGAAGAAGAAACTGATGATGAAAAGAAGAAGAAGAAGAAGAAGAAAAGAAACGAGGAAGAAAGATAAGAAGGAGAAAAATTTAAAAAAAAATGACATTGTCATTGATTACTTATCTGCGCGACGGCGATGACAAGGACGGCGCGGCGCAGCGACGAGGACGACAGGCATGGTGGTGATGACGTGGCGCGACGGCGGCGATCTCGTCGGTGATGATGATGACGGGGCACAATGACGACGATCGCGATGATGACGATGATGACGTGGCACGGCGGCGACGATCTCGATGATGATGTTGATGATGGCCAGGTGACGACGTCGAAGCTGGGTGGGTCGGGCGGGTTCGAACCGCTCCGATACCAGTGTAACGAGCGTGAGGCTGAGGGTGAGCCGAGGGAGAGGAGAGAAAGGGAGAGAGTGAGAGCACACACACACACTCACTCACTCGACACGACGGACTCGAGGGATTGGCCGCAGACAAAGTGGCAAGGCAGAAAGTCGAAGTCTTGGATTCCGAATGCCAAAACAACAAGTCACATTGAGTACGAGTACAACAGCAGAGAACTGGTACGAGACTGGTCCCCGTACCGTACGGGGAGCCGGTATAAGTACCGGTGGCACGTACGGTACCAGGGGCATTCCTGCAAAGGCCCCGAGGGCATAACTAAAAAATGCAGTATTTGAAAGTGGCGCCCGAATTGCAGCATGGCGCCATTTGTCCAAAATCCTACGGTACCAAAGGAGGGGTTTGGAAAAAGGGTGCCAGGCCGAAAACGGGATGCAGCTCAAACAGCAAAAAGATATACCAGGGATCGGGCCCTGGCGGAGTCCGTAACAACTCTCCTCCTCTTCCTCTCGCGGACAGATTACAGTGCCAAGTTCTCCAATACTGGGCACCCACAATATCCAACCACCAATTCCCACTGTTCACTGCCCAATTCCCACCACCCAGCCCGGAACCCACTAGCACTCACACCGCCACTAACCGCAGGGTCGTCAGTTCCCTTTTGTCCTTGCGAAAAGTACATCTGTGGACGTACCCAGCTATACCCAGTCCCAGGACCCGCTATACCCAGTCCCAAGACCATCTTGCATCTATATCTATATACCTGGAGGGCATTGAACTTGGCATGGTACCCAGCTTTTCCCCTGTGCGAAATTGTAGGTGTGCCCAGAACATGAAATTATGCTCATGCCCACCAAGTTACACCGTTGTGGCCCAACGACTGCTCTGTATGAGCATAATTTTAGCCATAGGGGAGGAGGGTATATGAACAATTGGGCCTCTCCTTCTCCGGTCCCGGGTATGGCCTTAATTTTGCCTGGGTATGTATGTCCATAATTTGTGCATTCCAGTAGTTGGTTATAACCGCAAATTTGGAAGGCCGAACTGGGTCCACCTCGGTCCTGGGCATGCAAACAATTCCCACCAGGCGTTTTCTGGGTATAGACGCAAGTTGGTGCTGGGACTGGGTATAGCCGGTATTCCCATCTTTAAGTGGGGTACAGATGCAATTTTTCTTTCGTTTTTTGTGGGGTTGAAGGGAAAGTACGCCAAATTCATGAACCCAAATTCCCACCCGGGGCCTCGTCCCACCCGGTAGAAAACTACACTTTCTCACCGTGTGAGGTGGCTGTGTGACGAGCAAATGCGGGACAATGTTTTGTTTTCGTGAATCTGCCCCTAGTGTAGTGCAAGGTGGTTGTGTGACGAGCAAAGGCGGGACAACGTTTTCGTGAATCTGCCCGTAATGTAGTGCAAGGCAGCAAAACCTGACAGTCATCTGCCAATTTTAGACATTTGATGACTAAGGAAAAGTGAAACATTCAGTTCCTTCTGCATCTTGGACAATTTATTGTTCGAGGTGGTCTTGGGCCAGCAAAGACCCAGAGCTGCAAATGCAACAATTTTCTGCGCCGCCGACGGGCGTGCGTGCATGAAGATAGGGGGTGGGCGGGTGGACGGGTGGACGGGTGGGTGGGTGCATGTGTGTGTGTGTTGAGCGGGCACTTTTTCCCCCCTCACCTGTGCACCGCTTTCTTTCCGCGTTCTCCACACACACAAAACAGAAAAATTCCCACGAAAAATGAAAGTTGAAAAAACATTCCGTAAAAAAAAAATCCTTTATATTTATAAATTATCATTCCAATGTTTGTCTAATTCTAAAATTTCCAGTTTTATTTGATAAGTTTTTGTCTAAATATGAGCTTTCCCTTCCAACTACATCTATTTGTTTAAGATGGAATGAAAGTCTGGATGAGTTTATGAAATGTTTTAATTAAACTTTCATTCTACTACAACAAATATCTTCTAATTTAGATTGGATTAACCTAGTTATGACTGAAAATCCTTACTTAGAATGACATTCCAATTAAAATATTTCATGAACTCATCCAGACTTTCATTCCATCTCTAGCATGCAGTTCAAATAAGAAGAGATACCCCATTCTTGGAAGGAAAGTTTTAAAGTAAGACGAAAAATTTTAAAATTGGAATGACATTTTTTAAGATGGAATGAAAATTTGAAACTTAGAATGTAATTTTACTATAGAATGGTTATTTAATTTTGGGAAATTTTTATGTTGCACACACGCACGCCCACCAACGCACACCCACCCCCGCACACACGCACACATGCACACAAACCCACCCGCCTACGGAAATAACACGCACAAGTCAGATTGAAAAAATGGTGCAGAGATTGCTAAGGTTGAATGCATAAAACGTGGTCAAACATCTTTGCATGCGTTCTCATATCAAATAGATTATATTCAGGCACAAACATCTACTCCTTATTTAATCTTAAGTGTCAAGGTGTGGATCTCATATTCATAAAATCTACCAAAACACATATGTTATATCCTAAAGGTACAAGAGGACGAGGTTGTGTAGTATATTGTCTACCGCGTGGGCGCGGGGAACGCAGCCCTAAGGTAGCCAAATCAATGAGAC